TGCAGTTAGAAATAGTGCAGAGCTGAGAAAAAATGAATTGTATTTTGGATACATGAAATTATAGGCAGTAGGCCAATGAAATGCAGAACTAAAACTTGACGAAAGTTTTAGCGCAATTCAGCTACAGGGGACTGCTGAGGTTAGAAAAATAAATGAGGTTTCTCAAGGAAGATGAAGGGCTATGACCTCTCACTACCATGAAGAGCAGAAACTAAAACAATGATCTTTGTATAACAAATAGTGTCATTTCAAAATTAAGTAATAAATAGTTTTTGAGGGTCTAGAGTAGAGTCACAAACTAGCTACTCAAAAGCTAATTTACCTGTAGATATTGTTTTGTTTGGACTTTTAATAAAATAATTTCAGGTTGTTTTAAAAAAAAATCACCGTCAACATTTAAAAACCAGAAGCTATATACACATGCTTATTCTTTAATTCTCTGGAAAACCAGGCAGATTTGTCAACTCCGGTCTTTTCTACAGGCACAACTGAATGGAGGTGAGGTATTGTTGCTGCCCTTCAACGACTCCAATTCACTACCTAAGTCGATTTGTCTCATTTGTACTATCCAGTTGGCCCCTGTAGACATTTGAGTTTGCAATTCCTGGTCTAGTGGTACTATGTCAGCTTTAATGACAATAATAACAGTAAAAACAGCAACACTGAGCACTTACTTCCAGGCCCTGTTCTAAGCATGCCACAGAGATCATTCACTATTTGAGGGAGTTACTCTTATACCATTTTACAGATGAGAATACTGAGACACAGAGGTTAAAGGACTTGCTAGAAGGTCAACAGCCAGCAAGTGGTATAGGTGAGATAAAAACCCAGACAGACTTAAATATGTAGTTAGCCAGACTTAAATATGTAGTCAGCCAAACAGTATTCAAATTAAATGGTAATAAATTACTCAACATGAAACTGAGTCTTTTTCTAAAAGCAAGCACCTCTACTTCAGCCACAAAGACTTGTATTCTTCTCTGCAGCGTACACACAGACACGCACACCCCATGCAATTTTGGGTAGCTGGGCATCTCCTTTTTCCACCTGTGCAAAGCTGGCCGAAGGTGAACTCCACAGTTTGATCCCTCCCCATAAAGCATGGCCTTTGGGTGGTGGGGAGGGCAGGTGGTGGTGGTGAGGAGACTGGTCCTCACTTTCATCTCCAGAAAAGAAAAAACGCATAGATGGGGCGAACTTCAAGAAATGTTATGTTCTAACTGGAGATAGCCAACGTACCCAAAGGTTTTTAAGGACATTTGAAAAGAAACATGTGGGTGGCTATAAATAGAAGTTGTAGAGCACATCCCAGGCTGAGGGGACATGAGATCAGAATAAGGAGAGCCAGGGAAACCACTTGGAAGTGTTTCAGTCAGGGTTCGGGAGTGTGTGTGAAGATGTCCAAGTTAAGGGAATAGGGTTTCCTGGAGGTCACACTGGGCACTTCGGGCTCTCTCCTAAACCGTCGGTGGACGTTAAACTTTGTTTGACTGAAGAAACAGTCAGTGGAATAAACACAGAACAGAATGAAAGAATCTGAGAGATCAGAAAGGGCACTTGACTACATTGGAAAAAGTGAGTTGGATTGGGAAAAAAAAAGCATCAGGGTTCTAAAAAATCTTGACACATGAAAGTATAAAATTATGAGGCAGACATCCATTAGGAAAAAAACACATCAGTTGAGTCAAAATGAAAATGGCATAAACAAAGCATTAAAATCAAGAATCAGAAATTCACTCATAACTATCAGAGGTAACAAAAACTTTTCCCCCTTTCTGACAACACATTTGGGAAATGTGAAAAAAGGGGTATAAAAAGCGGTTTGCTTGAGCTAAAAGAATATATACACCTGGGAAAGCACTATGCTAGAAGAAGAGTGATGGAGAATTACTCTTTGTCACACCTTGACTCCAGAAAAATCCATTCATTTTCTGTGTAGCTATTTTAACATAATTATTTTTTTTTTCTTACAAAGAACTATTACAGAAACAAAGCAATCATGAGTCAGTCAATGAGCCTGAATTTTCTTCTAAGTCTTTGCTGCATACTGGGAAAAAAGAAAACTAGTATTTATTGAATGCCCACTTTGTGCTCCATACTATTCTGGGCCTTTGACTGCATTATTTCATTTAATCATCACCACAACCATGTAAGGTGGGCACATTTTAAAGATGAATGTGAAGGTCAGAGGTGAAATAGTTTGTCCAAGTTCACACAGCTGCTAGGTGGCCGAGCTGGTACTCAAATACTTATCTCAACCTTCTTTCCATCCTCCAGCTGTGCTTCGGAATGAAGCTGATCTGGGTGAAAACCTGGTCCTGTTACTTACCAGCTTTGTGGCCTGAGCCTAATTAACCTCTCTGGACTTCAGTCTCCTCATCTGTAATGTGGGGAGACAAAACCAATTTTCATAGGACTGTTTTGTGAAAATTAGTTTATTCTTTCATTCATCTATTCAAATGACAGACCACGGAATAATGGAAGTGAAGCAATGCGGGCAGGGGGATAACTAATTATAACAAAGTCAATAGATCCAAAGTTTTGATAAAGTGAAAAGATTCCTAGAAGAGCAGTACTAAAGAAGGTGAACTGGTTGGGCAGTGGTCCAAGTGTGATGCTTAAAGGAGACATGTCAGAGGTAGTCTGGATTTTGAAGTCAACATAATGGGGATGACCAGGGGAGCAGGTGGCTAGGGATGTAGTAGGGATGGAAAAACCTTGGAGGCAAGGAAATTGAGAAACTGAAAAACAATGAGTAATGCATGGCAAATATCTGGAACTCAGCTGATCCTTAAGAAATGCTAATCCTAAAAAGTAAAAAACTTAGAAATAGCAAACACAGGCAACATGTTTCTTGTCCACACATTAAAATGATGAAAGTGAAGAATGTGCCTGAGCAGCAGACAGTGCACGTGCACACTCCTATTTGATGCTGTAGGCATGCATTGTGAAGGCACAGTCCAGTTCCTCACCCAGGCTCCTATGCACTGAGTCCTGATACGACTCACTTACACTCAAATGCTTCTGCTTGAAGGTGGTTAGGTGTTCCGTTAACTGCTTTTGTTAAAAGTAAAATAGTAAGGAGCCAAAAGAAAAAAAAAAAAATCCAAATAAGTATAATAGGAAATGTTAACAAAAATTTCCAGACCATATTTACTACAGATAAATGTCTATGCCTGAGTAGTTCCTTCTCCCTCAGTTCCGCCCACAGCAATCCTCACTTCTTCAACTACCTGGGCAAACATGACCTCATCAGAGACCTTCTCTACCTTCCTATGGACAATCACCCTCTCCCCATATCATATACTCTCTCCTTTCACTGCTTAACTGTTTGTTCATAGCACTTATCACCTCCAGACATGTTAGACATTAATTTGTTTACTATCTGTCAGCACTCTATCTCCAACCAAAATATAAGCCCCTTTGTTTTGTTTACTGTTTTATCTCTAGTTCCTAGAACAGGCCTGGGCACAGAGCTCAATAAATATTAGTTATCTTTAAATAAATAAGGTACTTTAATAACACTTTAAGGTCTTAAGTACTCAATAAAAAGAATGGTTGCCCATTTTTACATTTAGAAGAGAAATTATGAACTAAGGTTAGAGTGAAGAAAATAAACTAAAATTCCCAGTACTGTTTTTTCTTTTCTAACCACCCCTGGAGATCAGTGTTCAGTCACAAAAACAAACTCTCATTTATTTCCTTTAGGGCTCATAGCCCTAAAGGAGCCCACATAGTGCTCCTTAAATCCAATTCGCTGAGCTTCATAGTCCTGTGAAATGCATGATGGCCACGCTAGTCTCTTCTAATGACCACTCCCCACCTTCTAACCACCACAGTAGGAGAAAATGCTAAAAGAACTTTTCCAAGCTGACATATTCAACCAATACTTTTTTTTTGGGGGGGGGGGAGATAGGAGGAGGAGAGGATAATATTTCTTTATTTACACGGACTTTATTGTTACTTATACTCAAGTTTTTAAACCACAAAAATAGAAAACATTTTGAATCAGAGGCTGCCTGAAAGCCAAACATTAAGATGGTGGTCTCATCATTCCTGAACCCAGATATCAGCTAAAATGGATTTTATGTTCTTCGAAGTGCACAAGCACAAGTAGTCTATTTAGTAAGTAAGGTTAAATGCCTGTCAGCAAATCTAAAATTTCAGAGGCAATATTTTATTTCAAAAGTAATAAATAATATAGTCGCATATTAATTAGTGAGAGTTACAATGAAGGAAACGCTTAAAATTCTTATAAAAATTAGAATTATTTCATAGTTAGGCTGTTCACATTTCTCATGACCGTATGTTTTTCAATGACCTATTAATCCAATTTAAAAATTAAACACACATTAACTCACCAACAGTGATACAACTTCAAGGCTGAGAAAAAGCACTAATCACAAAGAACTTCAACATTAACTAGATTGCAGTCCAGAGAGAAGAAATGTCATCAATGAGAGAAGTCCTAATTATAAATAGCTGTGTATCTGTTTAAAGACTAACATACACCTAGCTTCACCAAAACACTTGTGAAAAAAAATTACACACACCTATTTTGTTCAAGACATAATATGAAACTTGAACTAATTCCTGTACTTTAAAAAAACGGTGACTCCTAAAAAAGGTTCATTGGCATCTCATAAACAAAGCAAAACTGTTAAACTGAAATGGTTCACCTATTTGGGTCTTCAGTTACAAATAAAAAGCCACTAATAATTCATTATAATAGTACTATAAATAACTGAAAACGTTATTATCAAAAAAAATTGTCAATGAAAAAAATGACTGATTCAATGAGCATTTGATCATTTTATTAACAAAATATAAGCAAGAATTACATCCCTCTCTGGTGAAACTTTTCAAATAATTTTACGTGGAGGGTCTTGAGATGTATCAGTTATAAAACACGTTAAAATGAAAACATTTTTTAAATGTACAAATACAAACCAGTACTTTATACAAGAATTCTCTATAAAGTTCGTCAATGTAAAAAATAATTTGTTTCAACTGAATATAAAGCATGTTCAGTTTCTGCAATTTTGTAGAATTATTTTTTTTGCTTTGTTGGAGACTTTTCTCTTCGCCGGTCCTGATTTTTCTTTGATTCTCTGGATTGTTCAGAGTATCTGCTAGATTTTTCCCATCGTCTCTCGGCACCATTCTGATACCTATCTTCGTCACTTCTAGAGCTGGAATGTTTTTTATTCCTTTCTCTTGACTTCGATCTATCTTTTCTTCTAAAATTTTCACTGTCTTTATTTCGGTGTCTGTGTTCATTTTCAGAAAAAGAATTTCTTCTCTCTCCTCTCCTCTTTCTGGGATCACCATGCTTATTTTCCAAATCTACGTGCATTTCTTGGTCTCTGTCATTCCCGACTCTACTGTAACTATTTCGTTCAGAAGGAACCCCCCTGTCTGCAGTGTTTTTTGTTACAGGATCCCTCCAACTTGGATCTCTTGAATTTTTATCTCTGTGTCTTTCTGACCTCCTTTCTCGTTCAGTGCTTGTTTCCTGGAGCCTTTGCTCTGGTTTTCTTTCTTCTTGTTTCCTATCATTTGTTTGTTGTTTCCTGATCAATTTATCAACTTCTTTACGTCTGATGTTCCCTTGTCCCTTCTTTCTTACATCTTTAGCTGCATGTGTAAAATGAAATATAGTCAGCTTCTATTTTAATCTAAATTTCATAATTTAACAATCACATTTATCGATAACATTGTAAGTTTACTAATTCAGATAAACTGCATGCAAAGCTAAACTGATTGAATGGGAAGTCTGATGACAGAATATTTTACAAAATATGTAATTTTAAACAATATACAATATATCAACATTAGTTACTAAAGTTCTATTTTGATCCTTAGACTCGAAACAGTAAACAGGAACTTTACACTATAGCAAATGTGGTGAAATTTTTTATGAAGTGACTAAAACAGTATGTTTCCACTTACGAATTTTATCCAAAAACAGAAATACCAGCCCATGTGCATTATGTCATATGAACTGTTATGTCAGTTCTGGTACATAATCAAAACACAGTGATCACACACGCCGGCAACATCATTTCCTAAAGGTGCAGGGAGCAGGATGACTGGGTTTGCATAACAGCATGAATATATAGTTTTCCAATAAAAACCTCTTCCTACAAAAACAACTATTCTGCTCTCCAGGGCTATCAGAGAAGCACTAACTGCACCAGTAAGAGAAGCTAGGTGAAGATATACAATCATAGGCTCTAGGAGAGCCATGACGGCTTAATTTCTGAGAAAACTCTTCTAAAAAGGCCTTGAACATTTAATTTTACTGATATAACCACAAATATAATTATTAATTACAGTGAAATAACTTACCATTTTAAGCTATAAAACAAATTTAATCACTTTATCTGTGTTATTTAGCTTGGGTACATAAATCAAAGGTGCTGAGATGACCAAAATTTCTGTCAAATTCATATATATATAGAAAGAAGAAAATATAGTGGAAAACTGCCTACCCTCATCCTACCTCCACCCAATCTCACTGTACCCACCTGTATTTCTTCCGCCAAATGCCTACGCTTGGCACGGTCAGTTGGTTTGCCCCTTAGGACGTATTTCTCTGGTTCCTATCAAGCAGCTCAGCTGAGCTGCAGCTATCCAAGCAGAAACCATCTGGCTCTGCACTAAATCAACGTCTCTCTGACCCTACTCTGCACCACTCTCAGTGCTTTGTTGACTCTAAAACCCGAGCCATATAATAATATGCAATTTCCTCTCTCTCTGGTGTCTGCTTTATAATTTGAGGGCAGTTCGTACTGCTTTTACGTTATTTTATGTTTTATTAATAAAATTGAAAGCTCTCTACTGAAATTGTATGATGAGGCAAATTAATTTTGAATCAGCAAGCTTCCTTCTTTCAGCAATTCACGCTGTGTTATCATCTGTTCTCAAAATGGATATCATGAAATAACAAACTCTTTAGAATTAAAAGAGGTGAATGTTAAATGAACAATGTCAGTATATTTCAATTCAAGAATAGACTTCCTATGAGCAAATGGAATCCTACTCTAATAATATAAAACACTGAGGGCCCCACAATTTTGGATGCTACATGGTACGTAATACACTGAAGTGACATAAGCCAGAGAACAAGAGTGTGAAGACTAGCCTTCCAATTTACTCAGGCTGCAGGGAAAAGTGCTGTCTCTCTGAAATATGCATTAGAAAACAAGAAACGACATGCATTTTAGACAATTAGACTATCTCTTATTCAGACTAAGACACTGTGATGCAAGACAGCAGAGTTGACCCTGGGGAAAACAACAAAGACCTCTTCAGAAAACGGCACATTTGAAAAAACTCCTTTACTACAGCACTTCCATTTCCAAGTAGGATGGAGACGACTGTGGAAGACCAGAGCTCCTGCTGAAAACGCTAGAAATGCTGGATAAAAATGTAAAATCTTCTGTTTAAAGGCACTAAAGATCTGGAATCTTGAGATGCTCGAAAGGAAGTGCTCAAAAAACAGATGAGGTTATGTCAAAAGAACACAGAAGTCAACTTGAAGGAACTCCTTATTGCCAAAGCTAAAACGATTTGAACAAAATAAATGACAGTATTAGACTTTAACACATAGAATAAGATACATATCCATAGTCCACACTGATATAAATACATAGTCGAATTAATAGATAAACGGGGGGAAAGAGACCACTCTTTCTTAGAGAAGAAATTCAGTTACTAAATGTAGAAGAAAAGAGACAAACAGAAAATCATCATTTGGCAAACACCATGGTAATAAGTGCTGCAGACAAGCTCCAAAGATGGATGCTAAAACTAGACAGTGAAAGTTAGGGGAGAAAGAGGAGATTTGCATACCATCAAATTATCTTCCTACAAAATATTAATTTACAGAGAAAAATAGTTTCCATGAAGAAATCCAGCAGACATCGCCTTCACCAACTGATCAAAGTTAATGTCAACAATAAGATACATCAATATTATGAACTCCTTGATGAGATACACCAAGAACACACAACTTCTATGGTATTCTGGTCAAAAATGCATAATCCCGTTCCAATTATGGGAAAACATCAGAGAGATCTCCATATTGAGGGACATTCTACAAAACAAGTGACCAGAGGACTTCAAAAGTGTCAAAGCCATTAAAAACAAGGCAAGCCTGAGAGGAACTATCACAGGTTATAGAAGAGTAAGGAGATATACAATTAAATGCAATTAAGATACTGGAACAAGGAAAAGGACATTAGTGAAAAAACCGGTGAAATTGAAATGAGATCTATTGTTTGCCTAACAGTACTGTTTCCTGGTTTTGATAACTGAACTATGGTTATGTAAGATGTTAACATGCAGGGAAGCTAGGTGAGGGCTCTATGGGAATTCTCTGTCCTATTTCTGCAACTTTCTTGTAAGTTGAAAATTAGTTCAAAATAAAAAGTAAAAAAATAAAGGCATCAGAAATGCAAATTAAAACCCAATGCAGGGGCCGGCCCCATGGCTCAGCAGTTAAGTGCGCGCGCTCCACTACTGGCGGCCTGGGTTCGTATCCCGGGCGCGCACTGACGCACCGCTTCTCTGGCCATGCTGAGGCCACGTCCTGCATGCAGCAGCTGGAAGGATGTGCAACTATGACATGCAACTATCTACTGGGGCTTTGGGGGAACAAAAAAAAGGAGGAGCATTGGCAGTGGATGTTGGCTCAGAGCCGGTCTTCCTCAGCAAGAAGAGGAGGATTAGCACGGATGTTATAGCTCAGGGCTGATCTTCCTCAAAAAAATAAAAAAAATAAAAAAACCCAATGCAATACTATTACACACCCACCAGAACGGCTAAAATGAAAAAGACAGTCAATTAGGAGGAAAGGAGCTACTAGAACTCTCCTACACAGCTGATGAGGGTGTAAACTGGAACAACCTCTTGGAAAACTGCTGTATCTACTAAATCTAAATATACACACAATGTACAACCCAGTGATTCTACCTCTAGTTACATAACCAACAGAAGTGTATAGACACCAAAAGATAATGTACAAGAGTATTCATGGAAACACTATTTATAAATCTAAATTGCCATCGAGTAAAAAGTATGTTAAGCATACTGTAGTATATTCATATAGTGGAAAACAATACAGCAATAAAATGAACGAAACATAACTAAATGCAATAATACAGATGAATCTCACAAAAATAATGCTGAAAGATAGGCCAGACATAAAGGAGTTCATAATATATAATTATAAAGTTAAAAACAGGCAAAATGAATTTATGGAACTACAAATCAGAATGAGTAGCTGCCATGAGGCAGTGGATGGGAGGAGTGGTAATTGTTGCAAAAGGGAAGAAGGAGGACTTCTAGGGAACTGGTAATTCTTGTTCTGGATGTTAGCTACATGGATGTGCTCCCATCGTGAAAATTTATGCAGCTGTACACTTATAAAGTATGTACTAAATGTGTGGTATATGTCAACAACAACATAAATCTTCACTATTCAAAGTAAAAAACTAAAATTTCTTTAAAATATGAACTTCAGGAAAGCTCCTGTAAACTAGTTTATAGACATTATGAATGGTATTTCAGTCACCACTCAAATAAATATTTGCCAATGAAATATCTTCATTTCTATGAAGAGGATTCCAAGGCAATCTTAGCATTACAAATGTTATAATTCACTACAGACTGCAGCAGTGACAGATGATCATTTATATTATTAATTGTGGCTTTTAAACAACTGAACTCTAAAATAAATAAGCAATCAAATTATTTTCTTCTCTCATTGTAAACATCACCAGTAATATACTTGTTAGAAAAGAGCACGATCCATTATAAATGAGTTTCAATACCTAGGGCAGAGCTCTGACTGCTGGTGGATGAAGTATCACTCTCTTCACTGGAAGACTCTGAACTGCTGTCACTGCTGTCGGAATCCGAGGCTGAAGAGTCAGACTCAGAAGAGGAGGACTCAGAGGAGGAGGAGGAGGGGGAGGATTTATTTGGCTCAACATCTGGTTTCTGTGCCACGATGACCTTTGGTGTATTTTTGAGATGCTCACGCAATTCATCCCTAATTAAAAATATAATCTCTGTTAGATTCTGCTTCAAAGGCAACTGTAAGATAATTCTGTAAGTTGAAAGTAAAATTCTCAAAATAATCCTTACGTTAAACCTCCAAGACCTATAGAAGTAAAGAAGTTGATGGCAAACCGAGTGTTTCTTGGATTATCTCGGGGTAATAACCCTTCAAAGAATGGCTGTAGGGTTCTAAAACAGAAAAAAAAAAATGAGCAAAAGAGAACAGATTGCTTAAAGATAAAAAGGCAAAAATCTTATATAGTCATTTTTCAGATTTTCTGTGTATTAAATTAGTAAATGAAATACCACCAAGGAAGTGATTTATATCATTTATTAGGCTAGGCTACACGCTATCTAAATGAAATGAGTAGGGTTGAGTCATAATTTACTGAACTTGATTTCTATAATTATACAATAGAGGAGGTTTCTAAACCGTTGTATACGCACACCACACACACACACAAAAAATAGAAATATGTATACAACATATCAAACATATATATCTATAAACATATGTATATACTGTACATGAATGTATATACAGAAATGAGAAAACCTCCTCTGTTTTACATATATACATGCATGCGTACACAGCACCGTGGAGGCAATGTTCGGGGGGAAGTAGTCAACAAAAGAGAGAAATCATGAAGACTGCATATAACTACTATTTCTAGGGGAAGGGTAACAAACAAAAGACATTAACAATACAAGGTGGTTTTGGACACGTGTTTTAGAGTGCCACACTGAATGACTAGTCAGCAGAGTCAGGAAAAATTGTTTATAGAAAAAGGTGACAGATGAGAAGAATGATTAAGAGTTTGCTGGACAGAACAAGAGAGAGGATTCCCAGCTCTGGAAACAGAGGTAAGGAAGCATAAACAAGACTCACTTGCTTAACAAGCTGGGCAATGTTGGTGCGGCTAGAGTGCAGCTTGCTGGAGAAGGAGTAGATGGGCCTGGTAAGGTGGACAGGGACTAATAAATAAGCATATAAAGCCAAGGCAAGTGGATGGAACTGCCCAGAGAGAGCATGCAGTAGAAGCCAGGATAGACTTTTGGCAAAGTGGAGAGGCAGGCTGAGGAGAAGACAGAGAATGAGAGGAGTAAGGCAGAATGAGACGAAAGTGAGGAGCCACAGTGAGCAAGTGGTCAACTGTATCAGTGAGGCCGAAAAGTCCAGCAGCATGAGGACTGAGAAATACTACTTGATTTGGCAGGTAGTCACTAAGAAACTTGAAAGGATGATTTCAGTAGTGTGAACGGAGTAGAAGCCAATGTGAGAGGCAATGGGCAATCTGAATAAATAGGAAATAAGAAAGCTGGGATAGGGATTATATAATAGTCCTGGAACAAGACCCTAATTCAGGGTAATAATCTGAACAATTACATGACTGATACTCATCTGTATATATTCACAACTGCCCACTGATAAAATATTAATTATCATTCTAAGGTTCAAAATTAGGGTAAAAAAAAAAAAAAACCTATGAATACTCATCACTGGAGAACTCCAGTAAGCAAGCAAAAGTAATTTTGCGTGTTCTAACTAAATTAAAAGAGGCATTAATTCTGCATTTTCTCTACTTGAACTAAAAACCATCATTAAAAATTGCATGTTGTCCTGTGCCACAGAACATAAGATTGAGAGTAGTAACTGACAGATGAAAAAAGTTCTAGGGGCTTAACTTTTGGTTTTATAACCAAGGGTGGACTTATGTGTCTAAAGTGGAAGAAAACTTCTGAGGACAGTAAGAATAAAAAGCGCTTCATGATAAACTTACTCATCCTTTAATCTTGCATTAAGTTTAGGAAGACCCATGTATTCACACAGTTCTTGGAAAAATATTTTAACAAAAATTCTACTGGATGATGTAGTGGTTTCTTCACTCAGCTTTATACATTCAAGAACCTGAAAATTAAAATTAAAAAGACAATTATATTTTGTTTAAAAGATAAGACAAAGTGACCAATATTTATAACTCTAAGTATCTTTTAAAATTATGATTTATTCTCATTTTCAATCAGAATTATATTGCTGAATATCTTCCCTTGAGCTGATATGTATTACTTCTTGGCAAAGTTTAAGACTTCTCTATGCTAATTTTCAAAATGTTAAGATGCTACAAAAATAGAGTTCATTTTCTTTCTTGAGTAATGTGCTTTTTATAGCAGGAATATATTCTGTCTTGAGTACATAATGCTGTAGCAAAGATTACTAGCTCTTAAACCTCACTCATCAAAATATGTGTGTATGAGGGTTTGGGGCAAAATGCCACTTAAAGCATTAGGCTATAGTTTGGTATAGCACACACAATACATGATAAGAGTAAAGACAGAAGGAGTGATGGCTTGTTCTGGTTTATAACATTGTAAAAGTTTCAGGTGTACATCATTGTACTTCTATTTCTGCATAGATTACATCATGTTCACCACCAAAATACTAATTAAACCCATCACCACACACATGTACCGAATTATCCCTTTC